GTTTTTAAAGAAGTATTCTTATCCGTAGACACTGTACTTGCACTTGAACAGGGTATATTGCAAGGGTTTGGCCCACTTTCCTTTGCCCATAAGCCTTTCCAACTCAAATATTTCCACTAGTCCTTTCTTCTTATTCCAGGTGGAAAAAGTCTTTGGAAAAATGAGAATATGTCAAATCCATTTTGGAGCCTAAGAATCTAATAGAGCTTAAGATGTGACTCTGTTACTTATCTCTCCCCTCCAAGTAATGCTTATGCTAAAATCACCACTAGTTACACGGGGTTTTTTTATTCTAAAAATATATAAATAAATGAACACAAAAGTGCTTTTCAGTATAGTCACAAACTTTACTGTTCTCAACTGATATGAAGGGACTCAGAAATCCTTATGTGCGGACAAATTCTGCATGTATACTGGAGAGCAGGCTCTTCCTTACGTTCCAAAATGTCAACGGCACAAAGCAGACATCAGCCCATAACCTACTTTTCTTCACAGCTTTCCTAAAATGCCCCTCAAGTCAAACACAAGTTCATAAATGTTAAGACACTAGGAAGAAAGTATGCCACCAACCTGAGGCATCATATGTCAACATATATGTATATGCATTGATGGTCAAATGACAGTAAGATTGGCACATGTACAAGCTCAAATTTGTAACGTTTATGTAGTTCTGTAATAGTTGAAGTAAGTTCTGTATGTCTAAATGCAAACACTGAGCACCTGTCTTTTTACTTGAAGGATAGATTGAGATACAAATTCTACAAGTATCTGCTTTAACATGTTTATACCATTAGCTTACAGGTGGGCAGAAGTAACAGTGATAATCATTTTGGCTATGTGTGCAGGGAATATAAAAGCTTTGGTTTAAAGTGATTCCGATAATACAGATTGTAAATACAAACAAGGAGTCATCAGGCATAGGGAATAACAGTACTCACTGACTCAATGCCTTTGCTGTTATTAACAAAAATATCATATTACAATCAGTTAAAATGCATACTTATGAAAAATATGGAAAAGTTACATATGAGACTGTATAGAGGCAACAAATAAAAATTTATTCTCTTTAACTATGACGCCTCCCTCAACTTTCTGAAACTGAACCATGTCTGCTCTATCACCAAGAAGATTCTCTAGACTCCCCTGAAAGCTCATCACCATCTACAGCTCTGAAGGGTATGGAGAGACGGCTGGCCCTGATACTTCCCATACCTATTATGGCATCCTGTCCAGACTGTGGCAGAAGTCAAAGCGAAGCTAAAGACAATTATGAAGTAGGAACAGTGGCTTCACAGCACGCCTTCCCTAGCCAACCAAAAAGAGGTATAAGACAATTTCCTTTTGAACGCTTGGTAAGCTAAGGAAGCTTGTTTTCGTAAAGTCTGGAAGAATTTCTATTCCAAAGAGCTCATGAAGAACTATGCAAAATCAATTATTTTCTATTTCAGAATTATATATAAGCTCACTATTATACACACATACAAATTCAATTTTAATCTACTTTTACCAACCAAGAGCTTGGCAATTTACAATAAATACCTTTATTAAACAATCACTTGTACTAGCTACTTGTGGAAAATGTGCTGGCGTTCCTACCTGAAGACGATTACACTTATCCATCATTAGTAGGTCATACACATTTCAGTTGTTCTTCTAAGAACAGAGACTAATCTAATTGAACGTTCATACCTTTCCTTCCTTCCCACCCTTGCCCCAACTCCCAAACACACACACACACACACACACACACACACTTTCTCTCTTCACAGAAAAGTAAGCTAGAGCTTTAGTCAAAATGCTAGTTAAAAAGTAAGGATCAGAACTGCTATCCCTGGATTCCTTGCACATTGCCCTAAGTCTCATTGCCTTAACATTTGTAAACCATTTAAATTACCTCGTTAGGGCAAAATTAACCATTCTAGCTCTGCTATGAAAATCATAACTGAACCATGACATACAAAGAATTTGGACAGTGCCAATGTGATTGAAAGTCAAGTTACCAAACTGGAAAACAATTTGCTATGTCTCTTTAGAATTAGAATACCTCTTTCTATCCTTATTGTAGGCATTCACGTCTAGTGGAGACCACAGTGTGTCTATCACAGACTAATGCTAATGTTTCTCTTTGAACATATATATATGTAAAGTATGGACATATATACACACACACACACACACACACATATATATGTAAAATAAAAAGAGGTAGAAAAGGGTAGGAGGAGGAAGCAGGCATTAAGAAAGGTTTACGGGCCAATATACAGTCCTAAGGCCAAATGAACTCTTGAAGCCTACTGATTTTGGAAAAACCTTCACTGTGGTGGGTAACTTGAATTATTATTGATATAAAATAAAATTAAGGCATAAAGAGAAAAAGGCACTACCAAAAATGAACAATTAAATTGTTTTTCATTAACTTAATCTTAAAATTCAAATAAATATGAGCATTATATTTGTAAAAAAGCCAAACTTAATATAACAATAAGGTCTCAAGAAACTGTCCTGATCCTAGCACATGTAACACTGTTGACAGAATTCAACTTCTGTCAAATATTTTGGGCATTTTAATAATTTAGATTTAAAAAATTGTTTTCCCTTTAAGAGAAAAAGCAGGAAAAAACCCTCACTATGTTATGGGATATATGCCCCTCACCACTAGAATTGAGTAGGAGCTGGACTTCTATATAAGAGGGAGTCCTGAGACAGAGGCCGCCTGACCTATGGGGTCCCTCCAATTTGGGGATACTTTTAATCCCTGTTAATAGGATTTTAGTTTATAATAGCCAATGATTGCCCAAATTGCTTTCCCCTCATTTCATAAAAAACAATAACATTTTAAAACATCACTGAACTTTCAGAGTTAGGGTATGCCATAAAATAAGTCTATCTGTTTGGCCAGGTTCCTCCTAGACTATGACCTACTTAGGGATAAGTTAATATAGTACCTGACATAATAAGCCACAATTATTGAATAAGCAAGTGAAAAAGATTCACCCTCTTTAAAATAAATTGATAGATTCCTCTATCTGACTGACACCAGGTGATTCTGTATCAAGCTATTGGTCTCTAGACCTCAAATGAAACCATTGGCACAGAGCTCCGCTGTGGCTCAGAGTTTGCATCTGACTAACAACCCTACCCTGGCTTTTGCACCCAAGCCTGGTCATCCCTATAAACTATCCAGATTTGATTTTCTTAGTGATTTCACATATCTTATAGCCACTCCATCTCAGAAGTACTACAGACCAGACCTGACATATGTAAGAACTAAAGTAGCAGAGAGCTCTTGTAAAAAAAATAATTGCACCTTTTTAATGTACTTTCTATTGGGAATAAAATAAAGGCTCTCTCAAACTGAAAGCCAATTCAATTTACTCTGAAATAAGTTTTAACTTTTCTTTTACATTTCAGCCTGTGCATTAACATTTCAATCTCTCATATAATAAGGTTGACTGCCTTTGAGAACTTTCTAAGGCAATCGTCTTTAACCATTTTCAAGTTAGAAACATGTTTTGTAAAAGAGAAAAATGGAAAAATTTTCAAGATAGTCATACTGAAAATTTCAAAGTCTGTATACTTTTAAATACATTTTAAAGAATTACCAACCATCAAAATTTCCATTAGTCTTTATGATATTTTTCAACCCTTTTATTCAATATAGTTTGTTTGCAATGTAAAAGATCTTATATTTGGTCCAAGCCTAAGTCATGCCATTTTGAATCTCTCAAGGCCTAAGTAGAAAGATATTTCCTGAAAAGCACATGTAAGACTGCTAGTGAATCTTCTCCAGCACCAAAAAGTCTGCCACTATCAAAGCAGAATGCATTTTAAAGGCACAAAGTCAGCAGTCTGGCCATTTTCCAGCCTCAGCAAAGAAACATTACAGTATAGAAGAATCAGTTGTGCATTTAAAAAACAAAATACATTTAGAGTCATTTTTAAAAGTTCAAATTTCATTTGTTGATCCATACTATTAGAAAGAAAAAAATTGGAGTGTCATATTTAACTGCCCCTAATACTAATAGAGGGGTTTCCTTTCAAAGATTTTTTTAAAATTTACTTTTGGTCTTTCATACCTCATCCCACTTCAAGCTTTTTTCTTCTAGTAGTTCTTATATATATTAACTTTTATTGTCATTTTTGGTACCTTTACAACTTGTTTGAAATAAATTCACATCACATTTTATATAATAATTCTGTAAACTATTAGTCTACTTTTAAGTCTTTACATAAAGAACAATACTTTCCCATATTTTTCTTATAAAACAAAAGTCTCCTGCAGCAGTATTAAAGTAGTAGTTTCTTTTCAGGTGATTTTATCTTCCATAGCATTTAGAGAAGAAAAAAGAGACTGGAAAAAGCAAACCGTTTTGCTTTGGGTTTCACAGCCCCCCAAGATTTCTCTCTAAAGAGCATTCATCTCATATTCTGCACTGCTGGTTACCCTGGCAGACCAAAAATGAGCTAAAAGGAAATCAAAACTACACAAGACAAAGGAATGAAGGAAAAGCCCACTGGTCCAGATACTATGATCTTGCTCAGGCAGAAGAGATGCCTTCACTCATAAAAGACAAAAGAAATTATAATAGATCCACATCCTTGGGGACTATGTTTATAGCACAAGATTTGGCAGTTGATTTTCAAGGGGGAGGGGGCCACTAATTAATATTCTTCCTTGCAAGCTGCTTCCTTTGATCATAAAGGTATGGGAGAAGCTTTGATAACCATATTTGTGCTTTGACTTTTTCTCAGACTAGCTAGTGGAATTTCAAATATTCCTACAGAAAATGCCAGATAGGACCTTGATACAGGAAACCAAGATCTACCTAACTTCAGAAACAAAGTATTTTAAAAGAGTCCCTAGAAGAGCATACCTTTTAGCAGAAAATAAAATACCAGAGTCCCTTATGAATCCTATGAAAGGCTTCACACTTAGGGCCTCCAGAAAGACTAATATTTCCTAACCTTTAAAAATAAAAGTACTTAGCCTTGCTTTAATATGCTGAAGCAAACTGCAAGTAGCTAAATTCATATTTTTCAGTAGCAGAAGTCAGAGATAGTGGGAGTTTCCCAGCTGCCTCTTTCCACTGGATGTCCTTGCTCTTGGTGGATATGTTACACTAGAAATACCTGGCAGTTTTAAACCTTCCTATAAAGTAGTTAATAGTTTGTTCTGATATGCTTTTCTTTTCCCACAATTATGAACTGACTTTTGAGGAAAGAATATATACAGATGGCTGGGTTTAATAGGCTCCATATTTAAATTCATTTTGTTTCTACAATGGAAGTTATTGATTTGGGTGTAATACACAGCTGGTAAGGAAAGAATTGCTATTTGATGTTTGCTGAGATTGTTCACCCTTGACTTGAAGTAGTGGTATCTGCTCCTGTAAAACCCTTATTTTGCATTGCATCATTTTCTCTCTGAAATTTACTTTTAGCAAGGAATCTACTCTGTAAATGGCTATTTTCAGTTTATAACTGGGGCTGGTCTTTGCATCAGGTTCTCAACTTCAGCACTTTCAACATTTTGGTCAGGATAATTTTTTGTTGGCAGAGGGGGATGCTGTATTTGTATAGTGTAGTTTTTTTGGCAGCATCCCTGGCCTCAAGACTACCCAAAGCCACTAGCATCCTTCTAGTTGTGACATGAAAAACTGTCTCCAGGCATTGCCAAATGCAAAGCAAAATTATCCCCACCCAACACTGGTGAACCACTATTTTACACAGTAGCTATTTTTTGAGGTGCTTTAGTATTCTGTGATCCCAAGAATGAGGATTTTTATCTCATGACACTAGCTTTAACATGTGGATACCCCAAGTTAAATTCTTAGTTCCCAAAGAATGTTATCTATGGTGAATTAGGAGTTAGAAATAGGAAGATATAGTATACATGATTTTGATTATTTCTCTTTTCCCTTAATTTTGGAACTTCCTCCCTCCAATAAAGACCATAGTTTAAAATATACTAAACAACATTTAGTTCTTTTCATTATTTCTATTAACTGGCAAATGTGGATTCTTCTGCCCACACACTGGATTAGAGCAATCTCTTTTTGCCTTTTAATTTGGATTTGCTCACTGACTTCCCATATCTGCTTTACTCTAAAATAGTATTTTTTTTTTTTTAAGCAGAAAGCTATCCCTCAAGGTTTACAGATTCCAGTAACATGGATCTATTATAGTGTATTTGCTTATTATACTGGTTAGGATTAACAAATAAACATACCTCTTAGAGATTCGTATTTTATATCAAGATTCCTACTGAGCAAAAAGCTTGGTAGACAGAGGTTAGATCTAAAGAATACAGATCTAAGAAGGAACCTATATTCTTTAAGTTGAGTACCTACCCTAAACTCAAGTTTAGGGCTCAACCCCACAAATGAGGACCTATTTTAAATACTAATCACTAAAAACTACAAATCATACATCATTTTCTTCTCCTTGTTTTCCATGTCTCCCCATCACCACCAATCTGTTAGTGACATGGGGAAAGATTCTACAATCCTTAGGTATTCTAAATGATTTGTTTGTACTAAAAAGAGCAACTATGTACTAAAGTGCTTTATCTCTCTGAACCACATCAGTACATTATAAAAAATTAAAAAAAAAAAAGGAGTTTCAAGTTCTTGTAAGGGAAAAAAAGATTAAATATAAAAAATTTAGGGTACTATTATTAAACAATTTAACCAAGAATCAAGAGAAATACTTTCCCTCTTGTCTTTTTTTCTCCCCATCTCTCTTTTTTATAAAAAAGAAAAGTGCAGTCAGAGAGAAGGTGAATGAATTGATGGGAGCTGGGTAGAGGCACAGGAGAGGTTACTGGCTGCTAGTGATAATGCACAAACATGTGCCTTAACAGTTCATCAGCTGAAGGTCTCAGTTTGGCCTCTATGAAGATCCGTTTGAGGAAATCTCGAGTATAGTCTGAGACATGAGGTGGCAGCTTTGGGTTTGTTGGCTGAGTGGCGATTTTAAAGATGGCAGCCATAGCTTCAAATTCTGCCCAAGGAGGCTTTTCAGTTAGCATTTCCACCACAGTACAGCCCACACTCCTAGGGGGGAAAAAATTACACAAATAGTATCATGAAGGAAAGCCACTTAACTACAACATGAGAAACAGAACTAAAGTCCATTTACATTTAAATACAACTTGATTTTAAGTTTAAAGTTTCATTAAAAGGTTGTAATTATATAAAACTATAATTTAAACATAAAAATTAATGAAAATAAACCACAATTTAAGGACTAACTCAAATGGTTAGGCAAAGAACATTATTCATCTTATAATTTTTGCTTAAATATAATTCTCTAACTTGACATTAAATATAATTTTTTGTCTTTATCTTACAAAGAACACAAACGCTAGAAATTCCGTTTGCCTTTAGATGCCTAAAATGAGTATCTATTAAACACATTTCTGGGTGGGAAGTAGGCCATTTTATGTTCTAACTTGAAGTTATTAAGCAATTAAAGATTAACTAAATTACATGATACTAACAAAGATCAATAACTCTTAAAGTTCTTCAGGGAAATAAAACAAAGATAATTTTCTAATGCTGAAATTTGCTTTAGATGAAATCCTTCCTAAAGAAAGGAAAACAGGTTCAAGAACTACATTTATTTAGCTAATCATTAAGCTACAAAGAGGCAAAATTAAAATAAAAGTAATCCTTGTAATCCTGACATCCTATTTCAAAAGTACAAAAGATCATTTAAATCTGGCTCAGTAATTTCCACTTTGGGTGGAATTATGTAAGGTGTTTTTAGGCAAACCTAGCATCAAAACCTACCAGATGTCTGCTTTTCTGCCATAGCCTTCTCCACTAATTACTTCAGGGCTCATCCAGTATGGTGTGCCTGTGACAGACTTCATCCCTGTCCCTGAAAGACAGATGGTTTGAAGCCGTTTGCTGGCCCCAAAATCTCCTAGTTTGACGTTGCCTGTTGAATCCCGCAGGATATTTGCACCTAAAAATATGAAAACATCCTCAATTCATTACTTTTATTGGCTGTTTGGAATTAAAAAAAAGAAATGGCAAAGAATTACTTAGACTCATCAGTCTGTCTCCAGAATTAGGCTGCTTTTTGTCTTCCCAACAGTACCTGGCATAATGCCAGTCACACAACCAGGGCTCATTAAGGATTTACTGCACAAACACTAAATTTTTAGAGTCAGCTGTGTGCGCTTTAGAACCTAAGAAGGTTCTCCCACTGAAATTTCAGGACGGGGCCGGTAGGAGGTAAGGATGACAAAGAAGAAAAAGGAGAAAAGGGCTAAGAATGTGAAGCTCAGAGAAGGATACAGAAAACAATAGTAGGCTCTCGGCTCCGGTTTCTCTGTGACAAAGCGAGAAGCCCATTGCTGCAGCTTATTTCCCTGAGAAGCTACCTTCTCCTTAGGAACTTCCTGTGGGACCTTCATAATCAACAACTTCTAGCACTTTCCTCTCTACTGTAATTTAATGTTGGTTACCTTACATTTTACAGTTTTTCTTAGTATTGGATTTTGTTTTATACTAATTTTATTTCTCAATGTCTCTCTATATTTTAAATCTCTTCTAAGTAAGCTTTGAGCTTTCTGTTTTAAAATTTCATTTACTTTTATAATAAACTTTTAGTTTTATTTACTACAAATGGACCTTGATCACAGGGTGTGAGGTAGTGTTTGCTGAACTCCACACTGAGTTGCTCTTCCCCAATTTCCATACTGCACTCTTCGGAAGTTCACTATGCAGGGCCCACAACCAAGGTGTGAGGATTTATGCTCCAGGCTGAGTGGCTACAAAAATTATTTGTAATTATTCTGCATGGGACATTTGTCTCCTCTCTTGCATTTATTCATTCAACCTTTCATTTATATTAGTATGACCACATGGATATTTATTTTATACTCTGAGTCATAATCAAATATTATTTTTTTGCTCAAGTTGTTCCAGCTTTGGCCACTGGGAGCTCTTTGTATTGGCTTCTGTGTCCCTCGGCCATACTCTGAATTACTGTGTTCCTGTTTGGTTTGGGTTTTTTGTTATTGTGGTTGTTTTTGAGCATTTTCTTACTTTCTGGCACTAAAAGATGCTCTGGGCTCAACTTGTGTATTTGCTGCACCAGTCCTAGAATCAGTCATTCCTCCAAGGAACCCTGGTTCCTTTTAGTGGAGAATGGTATCAGAAATCAAGATCTAGGTGCTAGATTCATTTATTTTTTATTCTCTCTTCTCCCTTTTATCACTTTTTTTTTTTTTGCCTATTATCACTTTTTGAACTCAATCTTTCTTCTGGGATTATAAAGGTGGTTTCCGTCTTACATAAATTATTTTTATTCTCATTTTTAAGTCTTCTATAACCTTAACCATATTTCAAAAAAAAAAACCTTAACTGTCCTTTTATCCTTTTTTTTAATGGCCTCTAAGAAGTAGAGTGACTAGTAGAGAAAATCTGCATTATAGAACAGAAAGAATGTAGACTGTGCATCCCCACCATGGGCTTGTGTACTCGTCTTTCTGTTCTCCCAGCAAATTCCTCAGCCTAGTCAACAATGGCTCCCAAAAGCCTCTCTCCAGGGGAGGGTCCTGGATCCATTCTCTGCATGCCATAAGCCTAAGCGTGCCATGGTACCAGACCCTCAAAAAAAGCACTGCCTAATTAACATCTCCCACCATCGGGCGCCTGGGTGGCTCAGTTGGTTAAGCGACTGCCTTCGGCTCAGGTCATGATCCTGGAGTCCCGGGATCGAGTCCCACATCGGGCTCCCTGCTCAGCGGGGAGTCTGCTTCTCCCTCTGACCCTCTTCCCTCTCATGCTCTCTATCTCTCATTCTCTCTCAAATAAATAAATAAAATCTTTAAAAAAAAAAAAAACATCTCCCACCATCTAAAACTTACAGAAAGATTCTGTCAAAAAAGCCATTGCCTGTAAAATATTTAGCCAAAGGAAGGACAACAAACAAACTAGTTTTTTCTGTCTATGAGCTGGGAAGGAACAGTCCTGGGCAGGTCACAGACTGGGAGAGCCATGAAATAATCACCAGTGGTGAACCAATGCCTACTCATATGAAGGTATGAAGAGAAAATGTATAGCCAAGCTCCCAAAATAACTTTCTAATTTTTTAAAGCTCATTTTAACTACATTAAAAGCTTTTAAGGAGACTTTTCAAACATACAAAAGCAGACAGGATAGTGTATGTACCCATAACCCAGCCCCAACAACCATCAGGACAACTGCTAGCCACTCCCTCCACCCTCTCAAATTATCTGAAGCAAATTCAACACATTATGATCAACAAACAGTTTACTACATGTCTTTAAAATATAAACTTATTACACCTAAGAGAATGGACAATAACTCCTTAGTATTACTAAATATATACTATCTTTTAGCATTATTTTAAAGATTTTATTTATTCATTTGAGACACAGAGATAGAGAGAGAGAGAGAGAGCATGTGCAAGGGGAGAGGCAGAGGGAGAGGGAGAAGCAGGCTCCCCGCTGAGCCAGGAGTCCGATGTGGGGCTCCATCCCAGGACCCTGGGATCATGACCTGAGCCGAAGGCAGACGCTTAACCATCTGAGCCACCCAGGCACCCCAATATATACTATTTTTAACATTTAAAAAAAAAATCAGAATCCAAATAAAGTCCACACATTGAGATTCACTGATATATATCTTTTAAGTCTTTCCTAATAAGTTCCCTCTAATCTCTTTTCTTCTTTATAATTTATGAAGAATCTAAGTTGTTTCCTATAGCTTTCTTATGGTCTAGATCTTGCTGACTCCATCCCAAGGAGTCATTTAACATGTTCATCTGTCCTATATATGTTCTATAACTCAGTAGCTGAATCTAGAGGCTTGATCAAATTCAGGTCCAATTTCTTTAGCAAAACTACTTATATAGATGATGTATTATTCTACAAATAGGAAGTACATAATGCTGGACTATCTCTGTTTTAGTGATGTCAGCAACTGTTTATATTTAGTACTTATATCTGTTAATTCCTTAGTGGTTACAAAATGGTACTATTCTATTACTCCTTTTTCATTTGTTAGCCAACATACTTCTATAAAGGTAAGTTTCCTACCATCTAGTATTTAGTCCTCCGGAGTATAGTTTGTAACACAAAAGCAAAGTAAAGGAACCCTATTATGAAATAACAAGTTGGTTCCCTAGCAACAATGATCAATTAGTTTTTATCCTTTTTTAAAATTTTATTTTTATTTTATTTTTTTTAAAGATTTTATTTATTTGAGAGAGAGAGAATGAGAGAGAGAGAAAGCACATGAGGGGGGGGAGGGTCAGAGGGAGAAGCAGACTCCCTGCCGAGCAGGGAGCCTGATGTGGGACTCGATCCAGGGACTCCAGGATCATGATCTGAGCCGAAGGCAGTCGCTTAACCAACTGAGCCACCCAGGTGCCCTTAAAATTTTTTTTAAAGATCTTATTTATTTATTTGAGAGAGAGAATGAGAGAGAGAGAGAGCACAAGAGGGGGGAGGGTCAGAGGGAGAAGCAGACTCCCCGCTGAGCAGGGAGCCCAATGCGGGCCTCAATCCTGACACTGACTCCGGGAGATCATGACCTGAGCCGAAGGCAGTCGCTTAACCAACTGAGCCACCCAGGCGCCCAGTTAGTTTTTATCTTAAGTTTCATTACGAACTCACGGGTTTAAACTTTAAAAGCAACCAACTATCTTTCCTTCTCCCTCACCATTTAAAAATTGCACAATGAAAAAAATAAAAGTAAAAATAAAAATTGTACATTACAAAAATTTGGGAAATACAGAAAAAGTAAAAAGTATGCAAAAGAAAACAACCATCACTCATCCTGCCACTTGGAAATAATCACTGTTAATTATATGGAAATTTTTCTCCTAGGTCGTACTTTAATTTTGCAAACTTGAAATCATATTGCATAGCCAGTTTTATATCTTGTTTTTCTCTTACAAATCTATTTGCCCTGTAATGCTTTTAAATCTGCTTCCTTCCAGCCTCATTTACCAGAATCGTTTATCACTCTTTCTGGCAAGGTTAGAAGAGGACCCCCTGGGGGGTTGCTGCCCTCAGGTCCTTTACCTTTTCTCACTATGAAAGCTAGACAGAAACTGGCTTGAACAGAAATTATTCCTAATAGAATAATTCACAATCAAACAATTTCCCTATGTGGTTCTTTAAGGTATCAGGTTTTGTACTTGACTAGTGAGGTCTGCCTAAGCTGGGGAGGTCTTGAGGTGAAAGGTTCCTAGTTCTTTTAGATCATGAGCCCTGTCCTCATCCTCCCAGACTCACCAGCAAGCTCCACTCCATACAAGCGGTCTGGCTCGGGCATTTTGCAGCAGATTTTAGTTTGTCACCGGAAATGGGGAAGAAATGTTCTCTTTGGCCTGAATATGACCATATTTATGATGTGACACTACTAAAAGCCTACTGCTGCTGGAAATCTTACTGATAATGTACATTTAACATATACTTTGTATATTATATTATATGCTGTATTCTTACAATAAAGTAAGCTAGAGAAACGAAAATGTTAAATAAGGAGAATACACTTACAGTACTGCAGTTTATATATAAAAAAAAAATCTACAAATAGGTGGACCCACACAGTTCAAACCTGTGTTGTTCAAGGGTCAAACGTATATGTGTGTGCGTATTTATTCTTACTGACTAAGTGATTTTTAAATGTGGGTCACAACCCAGTATTTACAGAATCAGACCTTTGGGTATACTCTGCAGTACAAAGTTTTAATCACTCTTGAATTTGAAACACCTCCGCCAACTGCTTTTGTCTCACGTCATGCATTTCCCTTACATACCTGCTCCCTGACAGTTGAGTTTCTGAGTTTTAAAAAGTGAGTTTATTAACTGAGCTGGAGTTCATCAAAGCTCAGTCTTGGCCTCTCTTCTTCCCTCTTCTTATTCTCTCCCTAGGTAATGACATCCATTCCCATGGCTTTAAAAATGATCTCAACATAAAGTATATCATCAGCATAGCTAACTTTTGAGTGTTTTCTAAATACAATGTTTTAAGCATATTATATACATTAACTCATTTAATTCTTACAAAAACCCTATGAGTTTGTAGACACTATTATTATCCTCCTTAAAAATGAGGAACTGAGGCATAGAGAGATTATGTGTCTTCTCCAAGGTCACACAGTGATGGATAAAGCCCAAATTCGCATTAGGTCAGCTGATGTCAGGGCCCCTACTCTTAACCACTATATTCTAATGCCTATGTCCTATGTATGAAAACATGTTTTCATTTTCATGATCATCTGAACTTTACTGATTCTGTGGACCCCCCACATATGAGCTACCCACTTGTAGAGATGTGAACATCAGGACAAGTCAGAATATTGACTGTGTCAGTGAGAAAGCAGAATTGTTTCCTAAGGTGTTTTAAAGGCAGATGTAGTAATTTAAATGCTAAATTTCTTAATCATTTCACTAGTTTCATTCAGATTCACACAAAAAAAACTGTACTTGAAATAAAAAATAGCTCATTACTTACCTTTGATATCTCTATGAACAATCATATTACTGTGCAAATAATGTACGCCCTCCAGAATCTGACGGGTGTATTTCCTAGTCACATTCTCAGTAAGAGCTCCATATGCTTTTAATTGGTCCTTAATTGAGCCCTAAGAGGAAAAAAAAAGAAAACTATGGTATGGTTTGAAATGAAAACTACTATTAAATCTTTATTTTTAAAAGGATCTGTAGTTTATGAGTGGGAGGCTTTAGCTGGAGAGTACAGGAATTCTCAGTAAGGACATTATAGGCCATCTAATTTAACATAAACTCTACTATATTCCCTGAGTACAACTTTGGAAGAATATGATCATAGCTGAAAGAAGCCTTTAAACTATTTTTTGACTGATGCCCTTGTTTCCATGACTAAGTTGGTTCTAACTATCTCTTGTTCCTTGCAATCGTGTTTTTTAAAATCTTGCTTTTTTTTTGCCCTGAATATATTTTTGTTTTTCCTCCTTGCTCTTCTCAATATGCCCTACTTGAATCTTATTTATTTTGTTTGATATCTGCTACTTTATTTCTCAGGAGAAAGAATGGATATGACTAAAAAATCAGAACACATATGAGATTTTTAAAGTTTTTCCTTTATATACATACTCAACATTCTAGTTGAAAACATGTAAAAATATATTAAAGAAGAATTTCAAATTTTCTTACATGTTTTTTAAGGCAAGATGAGATGCCATCTCTGAGAATGCTGAATCACTCTGAGGTGAGACACTGGCACTTGAATTTTGAAAAACCTTCCCTACTGTAGATTCCAACATACTAATTTGATGACTAATCACCACTTTAAAAGATGGGAATAAAATGCTTCCTGAGGGACAAAATCTTTTCTTTTAAACAGAAAATATAACCAAATGTTTCTGTCTTTCCTTGAGTTCTGGCCAACGGTGTACTATGTCATATGAAAGTAGATCCTTAGACTTTACAGGTTTAACCTTTGCTGTTTCCACTATTCATGAGCAATCCCGAAAGGAAAGCAAGATGCAATTCTGCTGACTCAAACTTGCAAACACATGTGTGGAAAGCCTCAGGCAGTCAAGAACCTATATGTCAATGTGGCTTGTTTGTTCAGTCTATTTATTGTGTCTCTACTTGTAGTAATACACAAAATAACACACCTAGAACTTAGCTGTCCAAATAATAAGCCCCCAAATACTTGTAGGCTGCAAAATGACTGACAGACTTGAGGCTTTTCTGGACCTTGGGCAGTTGGGCCAGTGGCCTATAGCTGCTAACAGCTCCACCGGTGCCGTCTATTTACTCCTGTGTACCAAAAAACAGTAATCGTCTTCAGTGTGAACAAGCAGATTGGGCTGCAAAGTACTGTGCCAGCAAAAAACTATGTGTGTGTGCGTGTGTGTGTGTGTGCGTGCACGCATGCGTGTGTCAAAGAAATCAACTGCTAGTCCAGAGACTGAAAATAAAGTTATGGTTTTGTTCTGAAAGTAGTTCTAGATAAACTAAGGAAGAGAATGCTACATTTGCGAAAACTGAAAAATAGTAACAATTTGGGCAAAGCATGAAATCTAGGGCACAAAGAGATCCACCATACTAAATTTAATGAGAGAAATTATATAGCATCATTCACAAACTTGGACATTCAGTAAAGTCTAAGATCATGTATGTCTGGCCCATATTATGCCTGGGCTTGGCATATGTATAATTCATTTTAAGATTGTTGATGAACTATTATTAATTTAGTAAAATGATTTCAATGACAACCTATACTTTGAAGAGATAGTTGCCCTTACAAAACTAAGTAGAGCTAATGAGAAACATGATCTAACACCTCTTCCTGAATAGACCTGGCTTAGTCTTAAGATTGCTAAATCTATAAGATTACCCATCTCCATTTGTGATGTAAATCAGTTCTAGCCAATTAACCATTTAATCTTATCTTCAACAATCTGGGTCCCTATTCACACTTATTCAGAATTATTCTTTTATTTCTAATTTAAATATTTATTGCACAAACAGTAATGGAAATCTGAATAAAAGAGAAAATCACAATCCCAACATAACACATTTTCAAGTTTCTTCTGTCCTTGTCCAAATACAGATACTTTTAAAAAATCAAAATCTTTATTTAAAAGTATCTTATATTCTTTTCTCTATCTTATTATAAGTACTTCCACCAACTTTGTTACAGAGCCTTCACAATCTTCCTGGGCAATGCCATCATAATTTACTTCCACTGTGGGAACTGATATTTCCATCACAGATAATACTAAAACAAATGTACACAGCTTTTTCTTTCTTTTGGATTACTTCTTTAAAATGAATTTCTGTGAAATCACCAGGTCAAAAGGCTTCAAAATTTCTATGGCATTTAATATATCCTGCCCATTTGTTTTCCAAAGGAATTAAAAAAAAACGAATTTACTTTGTCAACAGGATCTTTGAAATAAACAATTATTCACGATGATAAAAAAGAAAGTAAACTTAACCGCTGGTCTTATGAAACGGGATGATTAAGGCCATGACTATCAGATACTAATCCAGTTTTTACTGACCCATAAGATTAAACTGCAACCTTGTACATGAAACATATAATTCTAATAATCCACTTAAAGACCCATAAATCAAATCTTTTCCTAACGTATACAACTGATTAAATTATATGAATGCCTGTGTTTTTAAATGAGTAAATATACCACCATCTTGAAAATCAGTATTAAAATGTACCCTACAAATTCTAAAAATAACATAGAAGGAATGACAATTTGCAAGTCACAATTTGCAACTCCTACTGAAACTACTGACTCAGGCAATGATTACCCTTAGATAGATGGCTGAAACGGAACTGGATACTCTTTTTTTAAGATTTATTCATTTGAGAGACAGAGAGAGACAGATGGGGGTGAGAGAGAGAGCACGAGCACGTGAGTGGAGGGAGGGGCAGAGGAAGAGCATCTTCAAGCAGGCTGCCTACTGAGCATGGAGCTGGATGTGGGGCACGAGGCTCGATCTCACAACCCTATGAGATCATGACCTGAGCTGAAATCATGAGTTGGACACTTAACTGACTGAGCCACCCAGGCACCCCAGGAACTAGATATTCTATGTGCCATTGCTAATAGCTCAGATTACTTTATGGTCTTCAGGAAAAAACAAAACCTTACACTGGAGGACTCCGGATGTCAATCATCCTAATTTAGCATTCAATCTTCACATCACTAACAGTGAACAACCAGAAATTGTATGTCTCCTAATGGGATGCAACATGAAATGCACAGCATCATATATAATGCATTCTAATAAAAAATGTTGAATCTTAATCTAACTTAGATATTAGATCTAACTTGGCGTTTATAGGAAATAAGAGGATAAAGGAACAAATTAAACACCACGAGGATGCAATTAGAGAAATATGAGATAGACTGTCAACAGAACTAGCCCAGTCTCTTTGTCAAACCTATGTCACGTAAAAATGTTCTAGAGTAAAAAAGAAATAAGGGACGTAACAGTTAAAGGTAACATGTGGTCCTGGACTGGATCCTGGTTTAGATAAACCAGCTATTATGGTTATTTTAAGAGCATTTAGGGAAATCTGAGTATGGATTGCTATGGTATCTATAACCTATTTTAGTATACCTCAGCATTTTTTTAAAATGAGTTAAAAAATACATAAAAATGAGTTAAAAAATACAAATATAAATGAAGACAGAAAACAAAATTATATTACCCAGCTCTAATTTAAAACTTCCAAAATGTCCTTAACTAGTTTAACATTTTATAATTAAAGTTCTGTTGTTTTTCTTTCCTCATCTAAGACTTTAAAGAGATGTCTATTTTCAAAGGATGTACTAACTTACCCCTGGCATATATTCCATAAATATGGAAAGTGTTTTTTCCTGGGGATCCCTCAAACAGCCATAATACTGAACAATTCGCTCATGCAGCAAGTTTTTCAACAACTGAATTTCACACTCAAGCGCATTTACTTCCTGAAAGACAGAACTCACTGTTAAGTCTTTACAGCATTGCTAGTAAAAGCAGAACATTCGAACTTCACGGACCATTAAGGTGGTTTCATTCTGAAATTTTTACTTCCCAAGGAAGTAAATATTTTAAAGTCTCTAAACAGTAACTTTTGTAACAGTCCTTGATGGTATATTAAAGCAACACTAAATCAGATTAGGAATATAACTGAGCACTAAAAGAGAAAAAAAATTCACAGTACAAAGTAGATAAATATATCTAATTATAGACTGATTTGTTTTGCAAATAATTTGCATTAAGAAAAAAAAATTCTACTGTGTTATATTTATTTAGTAAAAATGCTTCTTATAAATGTGACAAAGTAGCATGTGCAGTGATTCTTACCTTGCTGGTCTCAGGGCTATCAGGGTCAAACTGAACTTGTTTAACTGCCAGTTCTCTTCCTGTATCGACATCATAACAGAGGTAGACCCTGCCAAATGCTCCCTGGCCAAGCAGTTTGCCCAATCTCCAGTTGGTTGGAGCACGAGGTGCTAAAAAAGAACACCTTCTTAAAATGGAACAGCCAGATGGCACACAAATGGTTAAGGACTAAATGAGTAAACTGCATTAGTGATATCCTTAATTGAATATACTTGGATACAAGCGAAAATCATGATCATCCAAATTCACAATGATCATCACTTTGAAAATTTTTCTCCTTAGTCAATTTTCTAAGAATTCTAAACCCAAACAAGGTTCATATATCCGTCTTATTTTTTCTAATGAGATTATACTCCCCCCTCCGATTAAAAATGTAATAGCATCTTTCACTCAATCCAGGATACCACTGATTGTCAGATGCACTATTTCTAATCTTTATTACAGCAATATTTGTAGTTTTCCATCTGCTTACAATGTAGAAAGCTGGAAAGAGTATCACTCTCATTCTAACAAGAGAAAATCTTGAAAGCAACCAGAGGGGAGAATAAAGAAGAATAAATACATACATAAATTATAAATAAGTACAGAAGAATAAAGATAAGAATTACAACAGACCTTTCCTCAAAAAGTATACAAGCCAGCAGGAGACAATGGAGAAATAGCTTTGAAGTGCTAACAGAAAAAAAAAATTGCCCAGCATTCTATACCCAGAAAAATCTTTCTGAAATAAAGGAGAAAAAAAGATCTTTTTCAAACAAACAAAAGCTGATCATTACCAGCAGAGTTACATTACAAGAAAGGTTAAAAGCAATTCTTTTAAGAATCTGATACCTGACAGAATCCCGCATTTACATAATCTATAATCTACAAACTCCTGAGTCTACAGAAATAAAGTGAATGATATAAAAAAGATATTCTCTTATTTTTAATTACTTCAAAAAATAGCTGTCTAAAGCAAAAACAGCAACAAAGTAGTGTCAGGTCACAAATGTAAAAGTAAAATATGACAATACTAGCATAAAAGGGATGAATGTGAAATATGCAAATACTGCTGCAATAAATACCTTTGAGCACAAATCTTGGTATGCACTACTTACATGATAAAATCCAAATACTCCACAATCTGGTCTTAATTACCATTCTAGTCCTTTACCTATTGTTTCAAGTAAGATATCCTCCACTTTAGCCAAAAATGAACTATTCCCCATTCTCAGAACATGCCATGTCTTCCTGCATATATCACCTCCTGAACTGGTGAATCCTACTCACATTCAAGATCTAGATTAAATACTGTACTGTAATCATTTCTCCACATACCATTCTTCGCCACTAGATTACATCTTAAAGGTCATATTTGAATAAAAGACAAGTTGGTAACAATTTTACTAATAAAAGAAAAAAGAATCAGCTACAGTAATTAGCAGTAATACTGTGTTTATACCTGATATTCCAACAAACTTTAAAAACATTCTTTTTACCTTGAGAAGTCTGTCTCACCCTGAGGACTGGTTTGGTATTTATTCCTTTTAATACTATAAAGTTCTGCAGAGGTTCTACTAAACATTCACTGTGCCAAATTCTATTACTTACAGCGGCTGGGTGGGCTGATGTCCATTACAGTCAAAGTAGGATTGTCTATGTCACTTCCCCTTCTCCTTATTCGACTATCATCATACTCTGGCGTAAAGATACTGCTTCCACTGCTAGTGCTTAAAGAGTGGTCAGTAGGACTGAAACTCACAGGAGACCGGAAGCTGGTCCCCTGGGTCCTTCTAGCTCTTGGAAAAGTTTTACGACCTACAAAATCAAAATAGAATTACTTTACAACTTTTATTCATGTTCTAACTGAAAGTATTTAAAATCTGTAACATAAAGTACAGATGTCTGCCTTGTGACTAGACTTGACTAGGCTAAGAAACAGAAATAGCAATGCTTATTTGATTACATGTTTTAAACTTAAGAGTATTTTCTTTTCAAGTTCAAGGAAATATCCTTCTTAACACTGAATCATGAAGTCAAAAATGAAAATACAAGGAAGAGAAAAGGTAAAAAAAAAAAAAAAGTGGGGAAGAACAGGATCTGAATATGATTTCAAACAATCTCTTTTGTTAAAACACACACACACATTCTAAAATCACTGCACTCCCTTACTTCTGGATAAAAAGAAAATCTATTCTTATTTCCAATTATAAGAACAAAAATTAGAAAATTTATAAGTAGCACTTTTTTTTCCTTAAAAGTACAAAGCAAATATGAATTTCATCATGAAGGAGTAATTTTCTAGTTAATATCATTTTTAATTACACCTTTTCTTTTAAGGGAAAGGTAAGTATTATGAGGTAAGTTGGCATAAACCTAAGATGTTATTATAGTTTTAGTTACCTAATTCCTTTCAAAAACTGTTTTCAGCAGAAAACTAAATGATTTAGGAACAAATTTATTTCTAATTGTTTATGATATTTTGTAAAATTTTTATTTTATTTTTGAGATCTTTAACAAGCTGTTCTTGTGGTCTAACTGCCAGAAACTTACCATCATTATAGTCTTGATGGTGATATGAAACATGATACCTTCTTGGGTATGTTCCTCCTTTTCCAAATTTCTCAAAGATAGGGTTATCATAGTCTATTGAGAAATAAGAAAGTTACAGGTTATAAAAAAGTCAAATATCCCTAATTTTAAATAAAAAACACGTTTACACATTTTTATTCATTTTTTTAAAAAATTCCCCTCTCCCTCACAGCCAAAGCATTGTTTAATGACATAAATATTTAAACATTTAGAATACGGATAGTCTAACCTGAAAATTCCTGATGATTATCTGGATAGCTCTGTGCCCTAGGCATTCGTGATTTTGGATAGCTCTCTCTAAAAATAAAAAATGTCATGTTAAATGAACAGAAAGTATGTGAATAAGACATTTAAAATATAAGTATCTGTACGTATGTGTAGAAATTATACATATACACATATACATAAGAATAAAGAAGCTGAGTCTGAAATGTTAACTGAAAGAAAGAGACTTCTTGGGCGCCTGGGTGGCTCAGTTGTTAAGCGTCTGCCTTCAGCTCAGGTCATGATTCCAGGGTCCTGGGATTGAGCCCCGCATCGGGCTCCCTACTCGGCAGGAAGCCTGCTTCTTCCCCTCTCCCTCCCACTCCCCTTGCTTGTGTTCCTGCTCTCGCTATCTCTCTGTCAAATAAATAAATAAAATCTTTAAAAAAAAAGAGAGAGACTTCTTTTTTAACACTTTTTTGGTGCATGGAGGCAAAAGCCTGGCTTTTAAAATCAACCCATAGGGTATAGCAGTAAAAATACAAGTTTTGGAATTATGGATGTTGGCAAACACCTGTTTTCAAACCTAGCTCTACCACTTAACTAGCAGTTGCAACCTTGGCCTATCACCTTTCTGAGACTTTCCTTTTCTATAAAAACAAGATAATAATTTCCAACTCATCAAGTGGGTGTATACACATAGTGCTCAGGACAGTGTCTTTCAAATATTAAGTGCTCAAAGACAGCTTTCACATTACTATTTTCCTGAATTTCTTAAATGTTTCAAATATCTATCTTGAGGTAGACATGGCACAAAAGTTCCATGTGTACAGGTAAAAGAAAATTAAATGTGTACTCCCATAAAGTATTAGTTATATTTTCAGAATTTGCTCCAAAAAGAAATCCCAGAGGAGATCAAATAGGTAAAGATTTTATGGACTCTGTGTGCTATATGTAAACACTGTCTTATTGAGACCAAGAGAGGAGGAGAACCTATAACAAAAAATTCAGTTGCAACTTCACCCAGGTTATATTCCTGAACAGCTATTTCACAAAACAAACGTACTTAAATTTTAAATGACACTTAACATACTGGGCCACAATTACCAAGAAAGTAAGCTATCTATAATTTAGTGCCAGAATGAACATAATCCTGAATAGGTGAAACAACTCAAGAAACCTCCAAAACTAAATGTATTTTTTTTAAAGATCTATTTATTTATTTGAGAGAGTGCATGCACACATGCACGCATGCAGAAGGGGGGGGAAAGGGGGAGGGAGAGAGAGTCCCAAGCGGACTCCACACTGAGCACAGAGCCCTACACGGGGCTCGATCTCACGACCCTGAGATCATGACCTGAGCTAAAATCAAGAGTTGGAAGCTCAACCAACTGTGCCACCCAGGTACCCCACCAACAGTTTTAAAAGTAAACATACATAAATTCTAAGTTTGCATTTAGCTTCAAACATACAATTTTAAGAAGCAAAATACATTATAATCAGATATCATTTTATCTGATAGAGATACTGAGCCCCAGGAGGTTAAAGGATTTGTCCAAACTGTGAAAAAATTCATTTGCCCTAAGTACAGACAAGTACCAACTACATTCCTCTAACATGCTATATATACACATATTTACCCACATATATTAAAAAATAAAAACTACAATCAATATTACCCATCCAAAGGACTATCAAGTGATGGACAACTTCCTGAGCCAGAATTTTCAGGGCTGCTCAAAGACAATGGGTCCAGCATCTAGACAAATAAAGAGTTCCTCCGTGATTCAATATGATATAACCAGAAGTTACCAGTTTCTTTTAAACAGTTTTATTGAGATATAATTCATAGAACATAAAATTCACCCATTTAAAGTGTACAATTTAGCGGGTTTTAGTATATTGAAAGTTGTGCAACCCTCCTCAATATCTGAGAACACTTTCAGTACCCAAAAGACCCCATATCCAATAGCAGTCACCTCCCCCCAGAGTTATTAATTTTTTAATGTTTTAAATGTAGTGATCCCTTATAGGTAGGTAACTTCAAAATTTCCTAAGAGATTATTAGATTTTTTTTAATTATATAGATTATTAGCTAAATAATTAAAAGCTAAAAGATTTCACATAACTCTGCTTACTGAACACTGAACAATAGCCCCACTCAAACAGAATAATGACACCATTATTAAAACATTTAAAAATGTTTTACAAAGTTGACAAACCTAAGCTTCACAAAGTTAAATATCTGTAGTTTTATTGTATCTTTCAAATGCCAAAATCTGAATGTTAACCCCACGGTTACAAACAAAGGCATTCATTTATTTATTTATAGATGAGCAAAGTAAGAAAATCAGCCTTATTCCAGCTTTGTTTATATAGGAGTGCACACAGGCACATGTAAGTTAGTTGGCATTATCCTATGTGTTTTACTATTTTGTTCACGTAAAAGGGAAGATATGGGATGGGAGAAGAGGTCACACACACAAAGGATACCAGCCAAACCACACAAATCCTGACAACAACCCTTTAAACAAAATGAAAAATGACATCCAACTTTTGCTTACTTGGTCCATGCTCTCTGGAATGAACTCTCCTTCACTGTTGATACTGGTGAATGACCCATTCCGGGCAACCTGGTGTAATTCATCTGGAATGTATCCTGGGGGAGGGGAGCTTCTATCTCTACTAGTGGGACCTCAAAGGAAAAAAATTATGCAATTTTACAAATATCAACTGGGAACTAATTTTTGTTTCGATTAAATATACACACAGGATTTCTGGACTGCAGTACCAATAATTTTAGCTACTGAAATCCAGTTTTAGGAAAACTTCTCCAAACATTCATTTCTATAAATCTTCAAATGTATTTATACATTTTTTAACTCCCATTCTACTATAATTATGAACCTCACTGTAATATTCATTTATACTTATTAGGTGGTATGTTCCTCTCACTGCTGACAACTGCATTATGGGGCTGATATTATAATAAAGATTTTTAGATGCCACTGCTTCTGAACTTCCAAGGGTCATTTGTACCTAGATATATGTTACCCTTTAACAGAACTGATGGAAGGCATCATAAGGTAGTGGAAAAATGTGGGCTTTAGACCTCAGACTCTTTAAATCTCAGTTCTAGTTATTTACCAACTGTATGTCTTTGGTAAAGTTACCCAATCCCCACAAACCTCTTTCCTCATCTGTCAACATAAGACTAAATCCCTCCTCTCTTAGAGAATAAACTGGTAGTTGCCAGAGGGAAGGTGGGTATGGGCACAGGTCAAACAGGTTAGGGGAATTAAGAGTACACTTATCTTGATGAGCACTGAGAAATGTACAGAATGGTTGAATCACTAAATTGTACAACTGAAACTAACATAACATTGTATGTTAATTATACTTGAATTTAAAAAAGATTAAAAAATACATAAAGCCAGCACTTAGGGTAAACAAACAAAAAAAGACTAAATCCCTCCTTTGCAAGGGTATTGCAGTGGTAAAATTACTCATACTGAACATATGCTATGCACATCTGGCTCCGTGATGCTCTTTCCATTCCCTTTCCTTAATCTTTAGAAACCTAAAGGGGCGCCTGAGTGGCTCAGTCATTAAGTGTCTGTCTTCAGCTCAGGTCATGATCCCAGGGTCCTGGGATGGAGCACTGTGAGCCCTGCGTCTGGCTCCCTGCTCAGCGGAAAGCCTGCTTCTCCCTCTCTCACTCCCCCTGCTTGTGTTCCCTCTCTCGCTGTCTCTCTGTCAAATAAATAAATAAAATCTTTAGAAACCTAAAGTGATATACACAATGAATCGCTGAACACTACATCAAAAACTAATGATGTACTGTATGTTGGCTAACTGCAAATAAAAAAAATAAAAAAAACCCATAGAAACCTAAAGTGAGATTACTTCTTAAATCACTTAGGCCATAGTAGTGTTTTCAAATTGGAATCCTGAATCTTATTCTTGGGTACTTTAAAATTAGGTTTTATGACAAGCCATATTCCGGGCATTTAAATTTCTTCACAGTTCAGAAAATGAGAAAATCTAATATACTTCATCTAATAAATCACATTTCTTATGAGACAATAATCCACTTTATTTTTACCTAGTTTATAGAAGTAACACTACGTTTATTAACACAACTCTCCCCTTTTCTCTGAATATTTTGAAATTAAACTATTAAAAAAAAGATATGAGGAAGTTATGTAAGCATTTAAGTTTTAGTCAAATTTAAAGCAAAAAGGCTTTGCCTTATAAAAAGGGGTCGCTGTAAGTATATGCCAGCATTTGTTAGTGAGGAGACAGGGAGAAAGAACAAAATGATTACCAAGAGATGTGCACAGAAAAGAGAACTTTCTACTTGGTTCTGAAATAATCAGAAACTCAACTCTGAGCCAGGGGTTTACTTAAGCTTTGTAACAGCTATGATCACACTGTTCCTAGTATTTTTATTCCTTCCATATACTCTTGTTTATAAAAGAAGATCAATATACTCATTACTAAAAGGAGATAGGGAAGAAAATCTACTAGATAAAGTTTCTTCATCTCCTTACTTGATAACCCATTTTTCTTTTCATTTACTTATTTTATTTTTACTGAAGTCTAAGTTGACACACAATGTGTTAAAACAGTTTCAGATATACAACATAGTGATCTGACAATTCTAATGCTCACCACTGTAAGTGTAGTTAGCATTCTATCACCATATGTTATTGCAGTATTATTGACTATATTCCCTACACTATGCTTTCATTCTCCATGACTTATTTTATAACTGGAAGTTTGTACCTCTTAATCCCCTTCACCTATTTTGTCCAACTCCCCAATCCTCTGACAACTACTAGTTTGTTCTCTGTATCTATTAGTCCGGTTTTTTGCTTGTTTATTCATTTGTTTTGTCTTTTAGATTCAACATATAAGTGAAATCATATGGTATCTGTCTTTCTCTGACTTATTTCACTTAGCATAATACCCTCTAGGTCCATCTGTGTTACTGCAAATGGCATGATCTCATTCTTTTTTATGGCTCAGTAATATAGCATTCTATATATATATATATAGAATGTTATATATACACATATATATGTGTATATATGTGTATATATACACATATATATGCATATGTATATACGCATATATATGTATATATATATATACACATATATACACATATATATACACACATCACATCTTCTTTATCTATTCATCTATCCATGGACACTTAGGTTGTATCCGTATCTTGGCTATTGTAAATAATGCTACAATAAATACAGAAATGCATATATCTTTTCAAATTAGTTTTTCTTCGAGTTTCTGTGCATTTCATTTTCTTTACCAAAAGACGCAAGAAAAGATGTTCAATATCACCATCATCAGGGAAATGCAAATCAAACCACAATGAGATATCACCTCACACCAATCAGAATGGCTAAAATCAACAGCACAAGAAACACCAGGTAGAGAAAAAGGATGTGGAAGGAACCTTCATGAACTGTTGGTGGCAATATAACAGTATCCACTGTGGAAAACAGTATGGAAGTTCCTCAAAAACTTAGAAATTAAACTACCATATGACCATGTAATTCCACTATTGGGTATGTATACCCCAAGATAACCCATTTTTCTTAACTTTTGTTGGTAATGGATATCCCAACGCACTCTTGGTTAAGGCCTCCACACCAGCATACACTCCATCCCGAAGGTAGTTTTTCCTATAGCTATCTTTTATGAAAATAATTGAAGAGAGTAACTGTCAATAAATAAGGAAAAAAGATGATGGTCATATCTATCAAAGCCATTTCAAGTGTAAACAGGTGCCAATAAAATTTTCTACATTACAATTTCCAGTTTCTTCTTATGCTAGCACTGAACTCAAATAAGAATATTTATTAGTAGGACAAGAGTGAGGTATTCAGTACAGTTTTAATTCAAAATGAACTTAAAATGTCAATTTAACTAGTGCATTCAGCTTATTTTAATGCAACTAGAGTGAATTGGCAGTTTTTTACTCTAAAATGAAAAGTACTATAATGTGATAAGGGAATGAAGAAAGAAACATGCTTAATAATAGTCATGTTTTCTAGTTTGAAAAGCAAAATGTTCTTTAAAAGCGTTCTCTTAATTTATTGCCACAAGAATCTCATGATTTAAAGATGAGAACAGGGCGCCTGGGTGGCTCAGTTGGTTAAGCGACTGCCTTCGGCTCAGGTCATGATCCTGGAGTCCCGGGATCGAGTCCCACATCGGGCTTCCTGCTCAGCAGGGAGTCTGCTTCTCCCTCTGACCCTCTTCCCTCTCGTGCTTTCTATCTCTCATTCTGTCTCTGAAATAAATAAAATCTTTAAAAATAAATAAATAAATAAAGATGAGAACAAAGTTACTGGTCTCAAGTTAATTAGAGAGCTGGAATTTGAATTTAGATATCCCTAATGTTCTTTCACCAAAATCCTAAACTATAACAAAATATATCTGAATGAAGATAAGCAATTTCTATTTTACTTGTATATCATATCTCTGCTGCTCGTATTTCCAGCATTTGTGAAACCAAAAGTAGGACTTATGTAAGACAGATACTTAGAAGGAAGTACTCATAAAATAGCTTCTTCTGGGGGACCAAAACAGAAGATGAATAACAGATTTTGGGGGAGTCCCACACACCAATTAAATCTTTTATTATTCACAATCCTCTTCTCTTCTCTATTTTTTTTTTAAAGATTTTATTTATTTATTTGAGAGAGAACACAAGGTGGGGGAGGGTCAGAGGGAGAAGCAGACTCCCCACTGAGCAGGGAGCCCGATGCAGGACTCGATCCCGGGACTCCAGGATCATGACCTGAGCTGAAAGCAATCACTTAACCAACTGAGCCACCCAGGCGCCCTGTTACTGGTCCTGAATTCCTAACCACATCTCTTATTCGCCCCCTCTTCTGCTTTCTCCTTCTCCAGTCATCTGTTTCACCTCCTCTTCTACTTTTCCCTTTCAAATCCATCCCTCACATATGTTTTCATGTTGTCTTTAATGATCACATTCAATGCCCTTTCTGTTAAAAAACATTTATACCAGTGGTTTTTGAGCAATGTAATATTTTTTTTATCATATAAAAATAGAGATTATCAATGTTTTACACTAACTGTAGTATGAAGTTAGAGCCACAGAATTGGGGAGTTTAGAGCACCTCTGCCTTGCCCACACCTCTCTACTAGACCTCCTTCAAAACTGACAATACATAGGATCCACTGTTTCTCTGTATACTACAAGCTTAATTTTAACAATCTATTATTAATGGCGAATACTGAATACTAATAAAGCAATAACCTGGAAACTCTTAGCAATTCATTTTGATAGTACTGCAATGACTAAAACTTTGAGAAAGGCTTATGAACTTAGTCTATCCATTAATTTTAGTATATTAGAATTATTTAATTTCTTCCCTCCGATTTGTACAATTAAGACCTCTTTGAGGTTTTACTTAAATTTGTTAAATATTAAAATACCCTAGATACATAAAGAAAACAAATATTTAAGTTGGAGATTGCTAATCTTGTAACACTTGACATAACTTTTCAAGGAACATCAGAAACTAGAACATAGTTGACTAAGAAAAATTACAGAGAGTAGAGAGGTAGGCTGCTATTTTGTTTAGGTGTTACCCTACATTAAAGGATGGAGAAGAAACAGAAATCGCCCTTTTTATGGTTCGGACACTAGCATTCTTACCTATTAGAGAAAGCCGCTTTTTCCTCTCTGCTCCAAATACTGTGTTATCTAAATCTTCTAGTGATGGCAATGGTTCTAAATTAGTAGCCTACAAAGGAAAAAGGATGATTAATGCTATTCTTCCCCTTTGGGGCTTCAAACAGAATCCTTTCCCCTATCAAATACAACCTAGATATTCTATATCATTTGTAGGTCTTATCAAATCTACTCTTTGAAATTCTAATTCCAGCATAATTCTTCCCAAGTTCTCAGTATTTCTATTCGTTTCATATGTACAGTATATTATACTTATTTATAATTTCGGCTACATAGTTTTGAAGAGCAAGGATATTAAGCTATAGCAATTCAATATATAAGTTTACATTTCATTATACTGAAAAAGTATCAATGATTATAGAACGTAACTATGTTTCATATACTGACTTTCACTGGCATAAATCCTATAATCCTTACTGAAAGAAGTCTCAATTCATACCTGTGTACTTCCGTTTATTACAAGTAATATCTTGAGGCTCTTCATATGAATACTACGATCCAGCAGTTCCACAGCTTTGTCCAAGTCATCTTGGGTAGTTAATGGAATTACCAACTAAACAAAAAGGAACATAATGAATCATGCCAACCATCCCACCAGGTCAAGTCCTTTCAGGAGCATCTCTGTTACTATGGAATTACAAATTTCAAAATACCCTGGCTCTTTGATTTGTCAGTATAATGAAATTCTGAATGAATAAATGTATTTAGATCATTTCACTCTTCCCATCCTACCACTAAAATCATACTGAATAAGGACAAAATTTTTTTTGCTTTATTAATTAAATTCTTCTAGAGAACACATTTAAAAATTAATTTCCTAGGATATTCCCATAAAGTTCCAAAACATAAAGTATAATATCTTCATCCCAAAACAGCATTAAAGAACACACACAAAAACTATATAAAATAAAGGTACTATCTTTCATCTGCATTGATGAAACTCACGTTTTTCTCTATAGTTACTATGGATTTGCATTCTCAACTAGAGTGCTTATCAACATCTCAAATACAATGAACATCTATAGCAGTTGCCATGGCGGGGGCCACTAGCAATGTACCTGCAATCTACAATCCACTTGGGGCTCTCATCTCTGACCCTGGTGACTTGACCACTAAACTCTGAAGAAATAAGCTAAATGGGTCAGCCACCCAAAGTAAACCCTAAATGTGGATATGTGCTTTCACTAGTTCTCTCATGGGTCAGATGTTATAAAGGACAAAAGCAGGGGTGCCTGGGTGGCTCAGTGGATTAAGCAGCTGACTCCTGATTTCGGCTCAGGTAATGATCTCAGGGTCCTGGGATCGAGTCCCGTGTTGGGTTCCACACTCAGCAGGCAGTCTGCTTGAGGATTCTCTTTCCCTCTCTCCCTCTCGGTCACCCCCCACCCCCAGTTCACATGCATGCTCGCTCTCTCTCTAAAATAAATAAATCTTTAAAATAAATAAAGGACAAGAACACCTAAGAAGTCTATGAGAAAGCACGATTTACACAACTTAAGAAAATTAATTTTTTTTTAAATGTAAACTTAGTAGCTAAAGACAACCGTCAATAATCTTCCTCAATTCTAGGAGCTAAAACAGATACAATATTAACAAATTATGTCAAACTAATCTCATTTTTTTGATAGACCTACAAGACTGGTAGATCAAGACGATACTGTAGTCTTAAAATATCTTGATACTTTAGAGCTTTTCATGATATAATTTTAGACCAAACAAAAACAAAGATATAACCTGATTTCCCTAAAATCATACCACGAAATAAAGAATCAAATTCAAGCCTATTTATATAGGAAGATTCTAGGAAACACTGGTAGGGGAATGGGGAAGTCAGGGAAGGAGGACCATAAAGGGTGTGTTATCCAGCAAATTACCACTGTGGTTAAGAGGACCCCATCCATCCCCACCTCCCACCCCATCCTTGAGTCTCATTCTCCCATCACCCCCTGACAACCCCACATGTACTTTAGTGTAGACACTATAGCTGTACCTCTGAAAAGCCCTCAGAGTCTCAGGGGCTGGCAGTTGGAAATAAGGCCAGCACAAGAGAAATAATAAATGCCAACATAGGGCCAGGCAACAAGAGGTGTTCATGGCTAATTAAAAACCCGAAAAGTATTTGAAAAATAAAATCTTAAGGTATTACTATAGTATGATACTCATCACTTTGTTCAGGGATATTATTTGTTTGGATACAGATTTTTACTTTATCAAAATATTTTCTGCTTTCATCTATAAGTGGTTTCTTTAGAGAAACTAATTAGCATATTTTTGCTTTAAATAATAATTCATTTGAAAATCTCATATTTGAAAATATTTTATTTGCACTATTCTTTAACATTTGCAAAGAATTTTCACATGTTTTCTCAAGTTAATTTTTACCAAGCTCTCTACAGTTACCCCATTCCCATTGGCATTTTTTCTATTCCTAAAACATATTAGTCTTTTCCATCTTAGGATCTCTGTAGGTACTTTTCTCAGCTGCTCTCAGCCCTCTCTCTTGAGGGGAATGTTCTTCCCCTCAAACTACTTGCAAGTTTGGCTTTTCATACCTCAAGTCTCAGTAATTAAATATTACCACCTGAGTTCTTAGTACTATCTAAACAGAACACCTACTGCCTTGCCTTTATTCTTTTTCATGGTATTTTATGCATGTCCTTCAAAGAACCTCATATATTTGTACAATTCATCATTTAATTGCCTGCTTTTACCACAAGTCTATAAACTCCATGTGGGGCTGCAATTCATAAATCACAGCATTATGCCTGCCAAATTCAACAAGTATTTTCTGAGAGAATAACAAATTAACCAATCAACCAAACTGTCCCTGAAAATTTTAAGATTCAAGATCTTGATCTCATAGGATCTGAAAGAAACCTCAAAGATTATCTAATCCAATCTGAGTTTTACAGAAAGTTCAAAAGGGGATTTTCTAGAACACAGAGCTCCTCAATGCCAGAGCAAGCCCTTAAGATCACATATACTGACTCACAAACATAAACATAATGATCTAATCATGTCCTAACCAACATGAAAATAATCCTTTTAAAGTTTTAACTAAACTATCTGACTACTAAAGCTCTATTGTCTCTATAGCCAAGTGCAGAGTATGAGAAAAAAAGATAGTTCATCAAAAAGTACACAGAGTGATAATAAAACATAAATAAGCAGCAAACTTTTTTTAAAAACGATTTTATTTATTTATTGAGAGAGAGAGAGTGCACGTGCAAACTGGGGGAGGAGCAGAGGGAGAGAGAGAATCTCTAGCAGACTCCCCACTGAGCCGGGAGCCCGACTTGGGGCTTGATCTCACAACCCTGAGATCACAACCTGAGCCAAAATCAAGTTGGACACTTAACTGATTGAGCCACCCAGATGCCCAGCAGCAAACTTCTAAGTAATACATGTATTTCCTCCTTCAATATATTCTCATTCAATTATTTGCACAGTAGCATCTTTAAATACCTTCCACAATGGAAAAAAAATCCATTTCAGTTAGTTAAAATTTACAAATTTACTTGTAGTATTTATTTCTCTAACATACCATAACCTTATCAATCCCTAAATAAATATTCCTAAAAGTCTCTTAAATGAACATACTACTTTCCAAAATAAGAGCTACTGAAAGATAAACTGTACATGTTTACCTCATTATTGGTATAATGGAGATCCATAGACTGTCCAAAGGCAATTTTAGCTTTAGATCTCAGGTCTTCCAGTTTAACTGGTCTGGGGAACTGAAGGATTCTATACAGACAGAATTTTAAGATAATTAATTTTCTTAGGTATATTAAGTAACATATTTACAACAGTTATCTCTTCGGTAGAGAAAGACAAAATTAAGTCTGGAACTGTTTTATGAATATTAAAAAGCAACTGTAAAATGTTCATTGAAGAAAGTGATTAAAATTAAACTTAACTATGTGACATCTATATAATGGAATGCAATGAAACTGTTAAAAAGAATAAAGTTGTTCCTGGGGATTTAAATTTTGATTTCTGTACCCTTATCAACTCAACATTTCTGAACAACTATATATCATGTAAGTATATCCCCAAAATAATAATATTTTAAAAATTAAAAATTTTAAATTCTAATATTTTCTTCCTCTGTAGCAAAGGATTAGCCTGTACTGCCCATGGGGAGCATGCACCTAAGCTTGGAGATTTCTACACCAGACTGTAAACTCTGTAAGTGGGAGGGACCATGTCTGTTTCACTCACCTTATTCCTTCATGGCCCAGTACTTATAGTACTTAATAAATAGTGCTCAGTGAATGGAAAAGAACTGAAGAAATATTGATAAAAGAACAATAAATAGGGGAAAAGTAGATTGGACAGCAGGTTGGTATATCTGGTATAACCCATTTTTGTAGACATCTCTGTGTAAAGCATTTTTACATCTTCAGGTTATATGACTTGCAAGCCTTTTTAAAGTTTTAAAATGGATAGCTGTCTCATTAAATGAATTTAATGAGATACTGATAACAGAAATGAAACCCCATCTTCTTTAACTCCTACTAGGCCTTGTTAGCAATTTTGTTGTCAACCACCACCACCCCCCACCACCGCACAAAGACAGAGATACCCAGTGGAAGACTAGGCTTATCCCTTTGCTGATTAATTTATAGCCACCATTCCAACTCATCTTTCTCAAAGCTACTAATTAAATACACGTCATATGATTGAGGTCTCTCAATCAAAATTATGAATGTTAACTCCATGTACATAAGTTCTATATAATATCTGAAGGGATGATACAATTACAATAAGGAGAAATATATTTAATTTCCCCTGAGTAAAAATAAAAGGAAATGGTAATGTTTAAAGACTGCATTATGCAATGACCTTTTTTATTTCCTAAAATAAAAACATTAATCGTTTCTAATGTTTAGCCTAAATTTTGACAGATTCTATTTTAAGTCTAAGTACATGTTACACGTTACCAAGGACTATTCCATTCTCAATTTGTAAGCCATGAACCTCTACTAAAGTCCAGGGAAAAAACCTCTAATGGCTTTAATTATGACTCATTTGATTAAATCAATAAACTGACATGTAATGTTTCTTTCCTTACCTTTTTTCCCCTCTATGTTCAAATTTGACTCGAACATCATTCTGTAATGAAACAATAAATCATTTCAGAGATTAGATAAAATTTCTAGAATTTCTAGGTCATTTTTTTCTTAGTCACTCGTTTTTTTATTTGTTTTTTTCCACTTGGTCACTCATGTAAAATAGAGCAGGAGGAAAGGAGGTTTCATTTTTAGTGTGAACTCCAATCAACTGATAGTGTCCACCAAAGAGCTGACTTGACAATTGCGTTGCTGAATCTGGGCTGAAAGCAAAGAGCACCAAGATCTCTTAGTGTTAGCACCATGGGTATGAGACACTTGCTAATCCTGTTGGATGGAAATATAGAATACTATAGTCCCACTTTTTGTGTTGAACATCCCAAACAAATTTTATTTATAAAAATCAAAATGATGCTCATTTGTAAATAGAATAATATACTATTTTTAAATAAAAACAATTTGCTTATCTTAAGTGCTTTAAGACCGGATGAAATATCAGCATTAGAGAGCAGTTACATTAAATGAAACTCTAGCACACCCATTTGGAAAAATGTATGACAAACAACAAAATATTTGACTTAAAAGTGTAAAAGACAAGACACTTTAACAAACCCTCTATAAGCTCATGATATTCAAGACAACTCATATAACAATATGTATTTATTAAAATATCAAAACAAATACCTGCTTTTTTGGTGATGAAGATTTTGTTTTTCTGGTTTCCTGTAAAGATAAAGCTGGTCGACTGGCTTTATGAAGAACAGCCAAATCTTGCATGATTGAGTTCAAAGCTTGCTGATCATCTAAGTATTTTCAAAATAATATATACACAGAATTATAATTTCAATATTTATTTATCATAGATATCAAACACAAAATTGATCATGAAATTTAATGCAAAATGCACTATTTTAACACAAAAAATGCATCTAGGACATTTTCAATGCCCACTGAAAATTATTTCACCTGTTATTCTGGTGAAATAAAATTTTTAATTATTTAAAAACTGAAGGCAGGGGTGCCTGGGTGGCTCAGTCGTTAAGCGCGTCTGGCTTAAATCTCTTATCACATTTATATATACTAATTTCCTTGTTTTAAGAAAATGAGTACATTTTTTCTATTGTAGATGTACAAAAGTAAAGAGGACCATTTGAATAAAAGTAACTTCTTAGGTAGATGACATACAAACGAAGGGCAATTTAAAAGTCAGGTTTCTTCATCTAGTATTCCCTCTGGACATCAGACTCTAAGTAAGTCCCAATCCATCTTAGCAGTTTATTTTGAATATCCCTACTACGATATCCTGCATGACATGCTTATTCCAAATCTGTAAGTTAACTCAAAAAGTGCTTTAATCAAAAATCTATTAAGTAAATAAATACAAAACATTATATAAGTCTACATCATAAAACTTCTTTATAAAAATGTTTTTCATACAGAGAAAAATTTTTCTTCCCCATTTTATCCCTTAATTACAGACAAAAGTTGCTTTTAGTTTGAACTCACCCATCATGGCAACAAGCTCAACAATTTGAAAATTAGGAAAATGGTTCTTCCATCAGCATTCTTTACTGCCTTAGGAAAAGAAAAGATGAACAAATTAGTAATAAAAAGAAACAGAAGAGGCAGCCACACACAACAAAATCAGAATAAATAACATTAATGAGAATAATACAATATTAATACCTTATACATTTTGCTAGGAAGAAGTGTTTTTTGCAAGATACTCAATTACTGAGAATGAACTAAGGATCTTTATTATATTCCATATTAAATTTAACTCAATATTTTTCAGGATCCTGTCTATCTAAGCTAGAAAAAAACCCAGAATTTTTTAAAGTAAAAAATCTTTTTTTCCCTTCCCCTTGCCCAAAGTAAAAAATCTCTTTTTTTATTAAAAGACTTTATTTATTTGAAAGAGAGAGAGCAGGGGGGGAGAGGGAGAGGGAGAAAGAAGGGGAAAGAATCTTAGGCAGGCCCTGCGCTGAGTTCAGAGCCTGACTCAGGGCTTGATCTCACAACCCATGAGATGATGACCTGAGCCAAAACCAAGAGTTGGACTCTCAACTGAGCCACTGAGGTGCTCCAGAAAAGTCAAAAATCATAGGAGTAACCCAATAAACTCAAATTCCTACAGGGCAGATATAAAAATGAACAGAAAAGGTCATGTTTAAGGACAAAAAAGGAGAACATCAAAAAAATAGTAAATATCTACAAAAATTCTCTCTTCAAAAAATTGTCAGAATCAACTTTTTCAGAACGCTAGAACTACCCAAAGGCTTGCAGTAATCTGGGCAGCACTTAAGAATCTTGGTAAAAAGAGAGCCTCTGACCTTTCCTATTCCTATCTCTACCCTTATCCCTAGCTCCAAAATAGCAATGTAAACCAACATTCCACAGTCACTGTGAATATAAGCAGCTTGACTGCCACTGGAGAGGGCAGAAAGGGACTGGAACTTCTTCAAAGTCTGATTCCAAAAAAAATGCCATACGACCTATCTAGTCGTTGGTCAATAGAACCAACTTGGAAGGCTGATTTTATTTAACCTGACTAAAGTTCTTCCAGTGCAAAGAGCTTGGGGTGTTTGCTGAAACCTACCAAGAACAAATGCTGCTATCTCAATGGTCTGAGAAAGGGGAGAACTGTTGGGGCAAAAATTAGGTTTTAGACAAGTTGAGGAATGAGATTTCAGTAAGGAGGTCTGAATAGCTCCAACACATTCCTGAGACTCTGAAAGTCACACATATGCCCAGAACTGTTGCATAATCAAGAAAGGCCAAAGAAGGCCCTAAGCTTTCACCTAACAACTAAACTAACTGAGCAATCTTCAGTGACCACACACAACACAGAATATAAACTTTAAAAAAATTAGTGCCCAAAAGTCACTAAACAAATTAAGAACAATAAACAAAACACACTGGAATGGGAGGGAAATCTGAGTTCCAGAGGTGGCACACTATTTTTTTCAAGAAAAAATTATGAGATATATAAATACAGTATGACCCATACATGGGGGAAAGAAGAAATCAGCAGAAACTGACTGTGAGGGAGCCCAAATGTTGGACTAACTAGACAGAGAGATTAAATCGGCTATTTTAAATATGTTCAAAGAACTAAGGAAATCATGACTAAAAAAACTGAAGAATGTATTAGAATGAGGACTCATCACAGAGAATATCAATAAAAAAACAAAAATTTTAAAAAGGTACCAGATATTTCAGAGTTGGAAAATACAGTATCTGAAACCATTAAGCACACCAACATATGCATAATGGGAGTCCCAAAAAAAGAGGAGAAAAAGAAAGGTGCAGAAAGGATATTTCAAAAAATAATAGTGAAAAACTTTCCAAATTTGGTGAGAAACAATTTACATATCCAAGAAGCTCAACAAACTACAGGTAGGATAAAATCAAAGTTATCTACACCTAGACACATCACACTCAAACTATTAAAAGATGAAGAATCTGGGAGCAGCAAGAAAGAAGGTACTCATCAGGTACAAGGGATGCTTAAGTGATTTTCAGTGATAACCTAGGAAGGCAGAAAGCAGTGGATAACATTCACAGTGCTGAAAGAAAAAGACTACCAACCAAGAATTCTATATCCAGCAAACCATCCTGCAAAACTGAAAACAAAATTAAGACAATCTTACATAAACAAACAGAGAATTCATTATAACTAGAGCTGCCCTACAACAAAATATTTTAAAAAAAAGAAATACAAAAGGAGTCCTTCAGGCTAAAATATAAAGGACACTAGACAGTAAATCCAATCCACATGCAGAAAGAGCACCAGTAATGGTAATTAATTACATATCTAAACATAAAAGACCACAAAAATGTTTTTTGTTTCTTTTCATTTCTTCTGTATGTTAATGTGATAGGTACAAAAATGGTCCATCCCAAAGGTGTCCATATCTCATTTCCTAGAACGTTTACATATAAACTACCTTACATGGCAAAAGGAACTTTGAAGATATGATACATTAACAAATTTAAGATGAGGATTACCCTGGATCATTGGGGTCAGACCTAACATAATCACAGGGATCATTATAAATAAAGGAATAAGCAGGAAAGTGAATGTCAGAGTGATGCTGCATAATCAAGTCTTGACCAGTCACTTTTGGCTTTGAAGATGGACTGGGATAGCCATGAGCTAATGAATATGGCAGCTGCTAGAAAGTGGGAAAGGCAAGAAAAATGAATTTTCCCCTAGAGCCTCCAAAAGGAGTATGGCAATGGTGACAACTTGATTTTAGCCCAGTGAGACTCATTTCAGACTTCTGACTTCCAAAACTTTAAGACAATAAACTTAGGTTGTTTTAAGCAGTATGTAGTGAGTATTTAAGACCACACCCAGTTTCTATGACTTGCTAGAGAACTCAACAGACTCAGCAATATACTCACACTGACAAGCTATAATTTATTATGGCAAAAGGATACAGAGAAAAATCGGCAAAGGGAAAAGGCACATGGGGCAAAGTCCAGGGAAGGTCAGGGCTAGCTCTTAAGGATCTTTTTTAAATAGGGTCACAGAGGACACACTTAATTCCTCCTTCCCCCACCCAGACATGAGTTATGACAACACATGTAAAATGTCGCCAACCAGGAAAGTTAAGAGACTCAGGACCCAGGGTTTTTATGAGAAGCTGATCAATAGATATCCTCTGCCCAGCACATACCGAAATTCCTAACTCCCAGAAGAAAAGCAGGTGTCCAGCATAAACTATACCGTTTGTATAAGGAGCTTAGGCACAGTAAGCCATTATCATCAGTTAGGCAGGTATGGACCCTGATAAGTCTTCAGATGCTAGCCAAGGGTAGACCTCTGAAGCAATTCATTCTAGGGATATGCAATGAGGCCTACTATGTTAATTCTTTTCTACATAAGCAACAACAAGAAATATACAGGTTTAAAGAAACTGCATAAAGCAATGATATAAAGTGTTTTGTTGGGCACACAATATATAATAATATAATTTGTATAACAACAGCACAAAGGGGAAGAGTGGAGTTATATAAAAAAGTGTATGTATACCACTATAATTAAGTTGATATCAACCCAAACTACACTGTGTTAAATTATTAATTTTAACCCCACCTCAACTCTACAAATAAACTTTTAAAAAGTTGCAAAAGAAACAGAAAAATAAGTTAGCATACTAGAAAATATCTAACACAAAAGAAAGCAGCAACAGAAAAATGAGGAACAAAAAAAAGACATAACACACATAAAACACCAATATAAAGTAGCAGATGTAATTCTACCCATGTATCATTACATTAAATGTAAGTCGAATAAACAAACCATTTAAAGAATAGAGATTAGCACAACAAATTAAAAAGCACTGATCCAACCATATGCTGTCTACAACAGACACACTTCAGATTCAAAGACAAAAAAGAATGAAAATAAAAGACTGAAAAAGATATACCATGCAAGCAGGAGTCAGAAAAGCCCTGCAGTGGTTATACTAATAGAAAACAAAATGGAATGCAAAAATTGTTATTAGAGACAAAGGAGAACATTTATAATGAAAACATGGCCAGCTCATCAACAATATACAACAATAATAAACATGTATGCACCTAACAACAAACTCTCAAAATACAGGAAGAAAAAAATTACAAAATTGAAATAATTAAAAAATAATAGTTGCAGATTTCTATACCCCATTTTCAACAATGCATAAAATTGAAAAATCAGTGAGAAAACAGAAGACTTGAGTAACACTATAAAACTTCAACTATTAATAGACATCTATACAACATTCAACCCCCATACACATTCTTCAGAAATAAACATAAAACATTTTCCAAAACAGACCATATGTTAGGCAATAAAACTAATCCTGGTAAGTATAAGTGGAATGAAGTCATATGATATATGTTCCCTGACAACAATGCAATGAAATCAGAAACTGGTAACAGAAGGAAATTTGGGAAATTCACAAAAGTGTGAAAATTAAACACATCCCTAAAGAACCAAAGAGTCAAAAAAGAAGTCATGAAAGAAATCAGGAAATACTTGGATAAATGAAAATGAAAATATACTGACATTTACCGGATGCGCCTAAAGTACAACATAAAGAGAAATCTGTAACTATAAATGCTCATGTTAAAAAATGGCAAGGATCTTAAATCAGTAACCTAAACATTTACCTTAAGACCCTGGAAAAAAGAAGAGCATTTGAAACCCAAAGGAAGCAGAAGGAAGGAAACAATAAGGATGAGAGTGGAAATAAACTAGAAAATAAAACAATATAAATTTTTAAAACCAATGAGACAAAAAATTGGTTCTTTAAAAAAAGAAATAAAATTAACAAACTTTCAGCTAGACTAATGAAAAAAAAAGAGAAAAGACACAAATAACTAAGCTCAGGATTAAAGACAGAGCATTACTATCAACCTTAGAGAAAGAAAAATAAGCAAAGACTATGAACTATATTTCCAATAAACTAGATCACCTGGATGAAATAAATTACTAGAAACTACCAAAACTAACTCAAGAAGAAATTTAGAAATCTGAATTCAATATAAAAATTAATGAGACTGATTTAGAAATGAAAAACTTTCGGCAAATAGAAGTCAAAACCACATGCCTTCAAA